TATGAGTGAGAATTGTTGAAACCAAGGTTGGATAGAGCACAGGGACAAATAGCCAAATGAATGGAAACACATGAACTATGAACCAAAGGCTGAGGGTCCCCCAGCTGGATCAGGCCCTCTGAATAGGTGAGACAGTAGATTGCCTTGATCTGTTTGGGAGGCATCTAGGCAGTGGTACCAGGTCCTGGGCTCGCTGCATGAGATAGCTATTTGAAACCTGGGACTTATACAGGGATGCTTGGCTCAATCTGGGAGGAGGGGACTGGACCTGCCTAGACTGAGTCTATCAGGTCGATCTCAGTCCTCGGGGGTGGCCTTGATCTGGAGGTGGTGGGAATGGGGGGTGAGCTGGGGGGAAGGGGAGGGGGGCACGAAGGGGGAGAACAAGGGAATCTGTGGCTGTTATGTAGAACTGAATAGTATTGTAAAATAAAATAAAAAAAATGTTAGTAGAGAGATACATATTATTAAAAGTTGCCAAGTTGATATTAAAAATCCTGGAAATAAATAAAAAGAAATCTTGACTAGATGAAGTTGAAAATAAAATTAGTGAATTGGACGCTAGTACTGAGGAACTCACCTGGTCCATAACACAGAGAGATGTTGAAGGAAATCTTAAAGAAAAGACAAAACTCAATAAATAGCCTCTAAAACTTTTCTATAGGGAATGGAGAAAATGGCTGAGAATCGATTTCCAAGAGATAAGGGAGACAATTCTCAGAATTAAGTGAAGATACACACCTTCAGGTTAGGAGTGCACATTTGAGACTACACACACACACACACACACACACACACACACACACACACACACCCTGCTCCATATCCTGGCCCACACCTCCTGCTACTTTACTGGAGGCCAGGCCTGACCTAGGGATCCCAGATAAGACACTGCCCACTACTGGATAACACTCCTTAAAGCAAACTCAACAACCTCAGACTGCACATACCCTCCATCCCCACCCCACCCCTGGCTCCATATCCAAGCCCACACCTCCGGCTGCATTATGGGGGGCCAGGCTGGATCTAGGAATTGATATAATCTCAGCTCCTTCCCAGCTCCACTGCTGGACCCCACTCCAACCCCAGAGGACTTCCACTACTCAGGTACATGCCATACCATCCAGAATTGGTGAATGACCCACCTGCCCAGAGTTGCCTCCACTCCCTGGATCCTTGCTACTGGGCCCAGGCAAGCAGGGGACTTCTGCCACTCAAGTGCAGGCCACACCAGTCAGAACCAGCTCCCCACTGCACCAAAGGTCAAGCTAAGTACCAGAAAGCTAAGCCCCAGCTTAGACAGAGACTTCCAATTAGACCAGAGGTCACAACAGCTGCCAGATATCCAGGCCACAAAGACCAGAAGACCAAATAGGAAACAAACCAAGGAACAAAACACCCATCCAACAAAGACAAACTCAGAAATCAGGGACTAGAACTAATCATCCCATACCCAGATGCCTGAATACCAGTGTAAAAAATATAATCAGCAACAGCTAGGGTGATATGGTACCATCAGAGCCCAGCAATCCTATGATAGCAAGACCTGAACATTCCAACAGAGCCAAAGCACAAGAAAACGACCTTAAGACAATTTCATGAAGATGATAGAGATACTTAAAGAGAAAATGAAAAACTCTTAAGGAAATCAAGGAAAAGACAATAAAAAAAATTAGAGGAAATCAACAAGTCCCTTGAAGAACGCCAAGAAATTCAAGAAAAAACAAACAAACAAATGATTGAAAGAAACTATTTATGACCTGAAAATCAAAATAGAAGCAGTAAAGAAAACACAAACTGAGGGAATTCAGGAAATAGAAAATCTGGGTAATGCAAGCATCACCAACAGAATACAAGAGCTGGAAGAGAGAATCTCAAGCATTGAAGATTCAATAGAAGAAATAGGTTCATCGTTCAAGAAAATATTAAATCTAAAAAATTCCTGACACAAAACATCCAGGAAATCTGAGACACAGTAAAAAGACCAAACCTCAGGATAACAGGGATAGAAGAAGGAGAAGAATCTCAGCACAAAAACCAGAAAATATATTTAACAAGATCATAGGAGAAAATTTCCCTAATCTAAAGAAGGATATGCCTTTAAAGGTAGAAGAAGCTTACAGAACACAAAATAGATTGGATCAGAAGAGAAAGTCCCCACATCACATAATAATCAAAACACCAAACATATAGAACAAAGAAAGAATATTAAAAGCTGCAAGGTAAAAAGGCTAAGTAACATATAAAGGCAGACCTATCAGAATTACATCCAGCTTCTCAATGGAGACCCTAAAAGCCAGAGGGACCTGGACAGATGTCTCACAGACTCTAAAAGATTATGGATGCCAGCCTAGATTAATATACTCAGCAAAACTTTCAGTCACCATAGATGGAGAAAATAAGATATTTCATGACTTAAGTCAAATTTAAACAATATCTATCCACAAATCCAGCTCTACGGAAGGTACTAGAAGGAAAACTCCAGCCCAAGGAAGTTAATTACAACCAAGAAAACACAGGCAAAGGACAACATCAAAATCCAAAGACAGGACACACCACACACACACACACACACACACACACACACACACACACACACACACACACACGCGCACACACACACTACCACCGTCACCTTCACCAACACCAACATAATAACAGGAATTAACAATCAATGGTCATGCAGGGTGGTGGTGGCACACATCTTTAATCCCAGCACTCATGAGGCAGAGACAGGCAGGTCTCTGTGAGTTCGAGGCCAGCCTGGTCTACAGAGTGAGAATGAGTTTCAGGACAGCTAAGGCTGTTACACAGAGAAACCCTGTCTCAAAAAAACGAAAAAACAAACAAGCAAAAAAGAAACAAAAACACCAAAAAACAAAAACACCAAAACCACCACCAACAAAAACAATCAGTGGTTATTAAATATCTCTCAATATAAATGGACTCAATTCCCCAATAAAAAGACACAAGCTAACAGAATGGACATGAAAACAAAATCCATCCTTCTGCTGCATACAGGAAACACACCTCAACATACAAGATAGACATTACTTCAGAGTAAATGGTAGGAAAAAGATTTTCCAATCAAATTGACATAATAAGTAAGCTGGTATAGCTATCTTTGTATTTATCAAGATACACTTCAAACAAAAATTAATCAAAAGAGATGGAGAAGGACATTTCATACTCATCAGAGGCAAAATCCACCAAGATGATGTCTCAATTCTGAACATCTGTGTCCCAAATGCAAGAGCACCAACATTTGTAAAAGAAACATTACCAGGGGTTGGAGAGATGTCCCAGTGGTGAAGCACACAAACTGCTTTTCCAGAGGACTCAGGTTCAATTCCCAGCACCCATATGGCAGCTCACAACTGTCTGTAAGTCCAGTTCCAGGGGATCAGACACCCATGGCAAAACACCAATGCACATTAAAACAAACAAACAAACAAACAAACAAACAAACAAACATTCGGGTGGTGGTGTCACACGACTTTAATCCCAGCACTCAGGAGGCAGAGACAGGTGGATCTCTGTGAGTTCAAGGCCAGCCTGGTCTACAGAGTGAGATCCAGGACAGGCACCAAAACTACACAGAGAAAACCTGTCTCGAAAAACAAAACAAAAAAAGAAACATTACTAAAGCTTAAATCACACATCAAACCTCATACATTAATAGTGGTAGACTTCAACACCCCACTCTTGACAATGGACAGGTTGTTCAGACAGAAACTAAACAGAGAAATAATGGAACTAACAAACTTTATGACTCAAATGGACCTAATAGATATCTACAGAACATTTCACCCAAACACAAAAGAATATACCTTCTTCTCAGCATCTCATGGAACCTCCAAAATTGACCATATACTTGGCAACAAAACAAGTCTCAATAGATACAAGAAAATTGAAACAATCCTTTGCATCCTATCAGACTACCATGGGTTAAAGCTGGATTTCAACAACAACAGAAACAACAGAAAGCCTAAAAACTCATGGAAACTGAACAACTCTACCTAGTTACTACTTGGTCAAGGAAAAATAAAGAAATTAAAGACTTCCTATAAATCAATGAAAATGAATGCACAACATACCCAAACTTATGGGACACAATGAAAGTGGTGTTAACAGTAAACTTCATAGCGCTATATGGTGATATTTTATTTGTACTGAAATGTGATTTTAGTTGTATGTTAATAAATAAAGTTGCCTGGGAGTCAGAGCTAATAGCAAGCCATAGCAGAAGTCTGGCAGTGGTAGCACACACCCTTAATTCCGATCACATGACAGGCAGATCTCTGTGTGTTCAAGGATACAGCCAGCACGGAGACACATGCCTTTAATCTCAATACCAACCATAGAAGACCTGGAGATCTGTATAGATGGGCAGTGACAAGAAGGTCACATGGTTGGGTTTGCAACCAATGAGAAGGCAGAACAGAAAGTCTATATAAAGACAGATATACAGGAAGTAGTGCGCTTGCTGAGGAGGAGAGCAGTGGCAGTGAAGGGTAAGGTTTTTAGCTCTTAGCTTTTGCTCTGACCTCTTGGGCTTTTAACTTTGCAACTGGCTCTGTGTTTCTTATTTAACAAGATGGTTACATCTTTAGCGCTAAGTACCTGCATAAAGAAATTAGAGAATTCTCATATCAGAGACTTAACCTGAAAGCTCTAGAACAAAAGAGGCAAACACACACGGCAGGAAATAATCAAAGTCAAGGCTGAAATCAATAAAATAGAAACAAAGAGAACAATTCAAAGTGCTGAGAGTTGCTGGTAGCAATGGCTTTACCAGAGGCCATGGGAATACACAGCAAGTGACAACAGTGTTTAGGGGGTTGACCTACCAGATGAAAAACTCTATGTTGGGGAGCCCCACTTGGCAAAGCCTGTGGGTCACTGTCTGTGGAAACTGGCTGTTTTCTGTCTGTAACTTTCTCATGTGCCACCACTTACTCTCTAAAAAGAGCAGCTGTGGGGTTCTTTCCACAGCCTATTGATAGTGTGTTTTACATCTTGGGCACACATACTGCTGTGGATGGTCAGGAAGATGATTTCTACTTAAGCTGTATACTTCTAATAATATCAGAATTTTTTCTGTAACTGATATAGAAAAGCAACAGTATTCTCAGTCTCAAAGACAGATAATTTTTTTTCCTTTTACTTTATTTTACAATACCATTCAGTTCTACATATCAGCCACAGGTTCCCCTGTTCTCCCCCCTCCCACCCCCTTCCCTTTCCCCCAGCCCACTCCCCATTCCCATCTCCTCCAGGGCAAAGCCTCCCCCGAGTACTGAGATCAACCTCGAAGACTCAGTCCAGGCAGGTCCAGTCCCCTCCTCCCAGACTGAGCCAAGCATCCCTGCATAAGCCCCAGGTTTCAAACAGCCAACTCATGCAATGAGCACAGGACTCGGTCCCACTGCCTAGATGCCTCCCAAACAGATCAAGCCAATCAACTGTCTCACCTATTCAGAGGGCCTGATCCAGCTGGGGGCCCCTCAGCCTTTGGTTCACAGTTCATGTGTTTCCATTCATTTGGCTATTTTTTTCAGTAATTGAGTAAAACCGAAATTTATTATAAGCCACAGTTGTCCTAGGGACCTCCATGCTACATATATAGCCTCCATGTTTCTATGGGTTGTGGTCTGATTGTTCTTTATTTTATATCTAGAATCCACTTATGAGTGAGTACATACCATGACTGTCTTTCTGGGTTTGGGTTACCTCACTCAGGATAATTTTTTCTAGTTCCATCCATTTGCCTGCAAATTTCATGCTTTCATTGTTTTCTCTGCTGAGTAGTACTCCATTGTGTATATGCACCAGATTTTTTTCATCCATTCTTCCGTTGACAGGCATCTAGGTTGTTTCCAGGTTCTGACTATTACAAATAGTGCTGCTATGAACATAGCTGAGCATGTATCTTTATGGTATAAATCAGCATTCCTTGGGTATATGCCCAAGAGTGGGATGGCTGGGTCTTGAGGTAGTTCGATTCCTAATTTTCGGAGAAAACGCCATACTGATTTCCACAGTGGTTGTACAAGTTTACATTCCCAGCAACAGTGGAGGAGTGTTCCCTTTGCTCCACATCCTCTCCAACATCGACTGTCATTGGTGTGTTTGATTGTAGCCATTCTGACAGGTGTAAGGTGGTATCTTAGAGTCGTTTTGATTTGCATTTCTCTGATGATTAAGGATGTTGAGCATTTCTTTAAATAAAGA